CGCAGGGGACACTTAGCCTCGTCACCGGATGGGAGGGGACATTTTTACCATGTCCTCTTTGCCGAACTCTGCCCAGCAAGCACCAATCCTGCTGTCCAGCCCCGCCGAGTCCTGGCTCTGCAAGCAAAGAAGAGGTTACAGGCACATACTCAGCCCTGGCGCAGCCGGTCTTCCTCCCTTGGGCAGGGACCAAACTACCCCCTGGTGTGCTCCGTGGGGCAGGACCCACAGGTGTGGGGATGGAAGGGGGGAGCAGCGGGTCCCTGCCAGCCCCTCTGCCTGCTGGCCAGGCGTGGGTCCCCTCCCTCTCCGCTCACGCGTCACCTCCAGCGTGGGTTTGCTCTGCACAGCTTTCATCACTGCCGGGTCTCCCAGGTCATTGGGCTCCTCGCAGGGCTCCTGGTCTTCCTCCTGCTCCTCAGTCCCCAGCTCCTCGTCCTCTTCCTCCAACTCGGAGCCGACCTGCTCAACCTCCGGCTCCATCCCACCTTCCTCCTGGGGCTCTCCCAGCTCCTCCAGCTGCTCAGCCACTCCAGGTCCTGGTTCTTCCCCAGCCTCGGTTTCCTCTGCCACTACTTCAGCCAGCTCAGGGCTCATCTCCAGAGGCATCAGGTGTTTTGTGGCGTCCTCCTCAGTGGAGTCTCGGTCTTGGAGGGGGGAAGCAGAGCACGTCAGGGTGGGTGAGAGCCTAGGCAGTGCCCGCCGGGGTCCCTGCTCCCAACCCAGCTCCTCACCAGGCAGGAGGACACGTTCCTCACCCCCCCTACCTCCATCCTCCTCACCCCGTCGGGTGCTGGCTGATCTCCCTGAGCCTGGGGCTCCCCTGAGATCTTACCTAACCCAAAAGTCATCTCATTGTACAGGTCGAGCTCTTCGTCCTCCTCGGCCATCTCCTCCAGCAGAGGCGCATCTTCCACCAGCAGGTAGTCCTCGAGGATCTGGAGTCAAAAGCAGCAGGGTCCCCGCTAAGGGAGACAGGCAGGGATGGGGTAACCCTAACCTGCCCCCCAAGTGCAGGGCACCCAACCTCCCCCCCACACCACTGACAGTGCCAGGCAGCCCCCAGGGCTCACAGCTGCTCTGCAGCTGGAAAGGGAAGAGCAAGAGCCACTGGCACTACCAGTGAGGGCAGGACCCGCTGGCTCAGCACAGGGTAGGAGCCCACTGAAGCCTGCCGGGACCAGGGCTGCGGCCACCCGGAGGTGACGGTGTCCCCTGCCAGCACGGAGGATGCTGGCATGGAAGAGCACCAGCGTGGCTGGCGCTGAGGGACACCATTAGGCTTCAGAGTGAACGCCCCGCTGTCGGGGCATGAACAGCACCCGAGCACAAGGCAGGGAAGGGCACCCCACCAGCATCTCCACGGCAGGGCTTCTCGGCTACCGACCCCGCCCGGGGGAGCCAGCACCCGGGAGGGGGGCCCC